AATAATAATAATAATAAAATTTTTCGAAAATATTTAACAGTACTCAGACGTTCAAAAATGTCTCTTGTCTTACAGTTTGAGTTAATATTAAAAATCGGCTCAATTATATGTGGCTACGGAGGGCGCCGTGTTGGACAGGGCTGCTCGATCCTGTCTCAGTTCTCAGATACAAAGTTTATTTAGTTAGATCCAATCTCTGAAGCGAATTCAAGACAGAGGAACGTGTTTTATCCATTGGGCCCAACTGATTAGGCTTTATACCTGAGGTCGGAAACAGAGTCGAGTTCCCGAAATGTGGTCTCATTAAAAATTTGGAACATGAATAATCCTGAAAATCAATCATTATATCCGTTTGTATAACTGAATTCAAATGAAAGCCACACATGTGATCTACTTGAAGTCCACTGCTGGCATAGAATTTCTCTGCCTCTCTTACTTCCTTATTGGAATATTACGTTGCATATCGCCTGAACGTTTTTAGGTGAAATAAAAGTGTACTGGACACAAAGATATTTTAAGCGGTTTTATCTAAATCCATACATTGCTACCATGACACGTAATTAAATATGTAAAAGAAAACAAATGAGTTCGTAGATAAAACATGTCGAAAGAAACAGGTGGACAGTTTTTAGCTCTGAGAGCGTTCTTAATACAGGCGTTCGTGGCAGGCGGTGCCAATGCAAAGTAGTTTCGAGAACCTCTTATCCAATTTACTGAACACGAATCTCCAGTAAATTATAAAGGCTGTTTATGTAACGATGCAGTATCTACCGATAATATCAAAACAAAACTGGAGATGGGTGTTACTAAGCAGGATTCCCTGATTCATCTTCTTTCTTCTGCTGTCAGTGTGCAGCTAACTAACCACAGCCTATGTCGGTAATTAACAGTTCAAAGCCCAGTGCTTGTTATGTGTATCCTTCTTTAACATTTAAAATATTTTACATTTTGCTACCATAGTGTATTTCTGTGACCGCCTCTGTGGTCTAGTGGTCAGAGTTCCTGGCTACAGACCTAGAGGTTCCGGGTTCGATTCCCGGCGCTACCAGATTTTCTGGGATGTAGTGGATCTGGAACGGGGTTCACTCAGTCTCGTGAGGATAACTGAGGAGCTATTTCAAGGATAAGACGGCTCCGGTCTAGAAAACCGAGATTAACGGCCGTGGGGAACCGATGCGCTGACCACGTGACACCCTCTACCCGCAAAAGTTGGCACTAACTTCGCCGGAAAGCGGCGGTCGCTCCGTCGGTAAACTATTCTTGCGGACTACAGGCCATGGAGTTTTTTTGTATTTCTGTATTTCAAATGATGGACTAAACGGAGCCAGTATAGCGCAGTCGGTATTGGTACTGGGCATTGATTTGACGGCCAAGGGGTCGCAGTACGAGTCCCGGTATGAGCAAGATTTTGCTTCTCTCCATATCATCCAGACCGGTCCTGGGGGCCCACCCAAGCCTCCAATCCAATGGGCACCGGGAGCTCTTTCCCCGGGGTAAAGCGGCTTGAACATAACCACTTAACTCAAACTAGTGCAGAGGTCAAGAATACGTTGATCTATAAATCCACCCCAACAAAATCCTTCATGGCGTAGTGCTTAATTAGTTTAGCACAGGGATAACTTTACCTTAATCAGAATAAACATAAATTTGTCCCCCTAAATGTCGTTACGCACATATTTGGAGAAGCAGTATGTTTTCTGTGTTGTGTCAACTAATTCCTGAATAATAATGTGAACTTCATCTGCGTTGGCTGGCAAATGCTAGCAGGCCAGCAAGCGAGATGAGAACCTGTTGCTCATCCAGGCCCAGGCCTGGTAGCTCTCTCGTCCAACCGCTTCTTTTTAATCTTATCTTCAGATACTTTTACTTCTGATTAACCTAATTGTACTGATGTCACGCATAGCTAGTAGAGTCGACTTTTCGTTGAAAAGTAGTAACATTTGTTTCCACGTTTCTCTGGCCTGACGCCTCTCTTCTTTACACCTACTTCATTTTATTCCACTATAAGAAAGAAGTCGTTGTTCCTACCTTCAAAACAGAAGGTAAAAAGATCTGTCCCATTAACTTGCTGTGTATACCATGAAACTATGCCAAATCAATTACGATTTCTAAATATCTTTCAAGAAAAAAATGTTTCTCTGCGAAGAAGCAGTGAAGTGAATGTTAGAATTTAGTTTTGTCACTAGATAACGTGGACAGTCTTCGGTCTGAATAAAAACATTTCAACGCTTGATGTCGGGTAGAAAATTAACAAAATTCTTGCTGTATTATTATTATTATTATTATCATCATTATCATTATCATCATCATCATCATCATCATAACTCCATGGAACTGGTTCCTTTTTGAGAAGCCATCCATTGCTAAGCCTCTGAAGAATTTCCCAATATTTTATAGAACTCGAAGGTTCATTTTCGCGTTCGCAGAAACTCGTCTTTAGTCCCTATCCTGAGTCAGATTAATCCAGTTCATACAACTTCATCCTGCTTAGTGGATAAAGGGTGTCACGTGGACAGCACAACGAATCCCTAAGGCCGTTAATTTCGGTTTTCTAGACCCGAGTCGCTATTTTTCTATTCAAGTAGCTCCTCA